CGCTTCGTGGAGATTTTATGGGTAGGTTCAGTGAAAAGTTTTTGTGACATGTCGGAAATTTATGTCTTAGTGGGAGTCTTAATTTATATGTTTTGTTGTGTTGAAAATATATGAGTTTTATTTTACTCACACTTTAACATCGTGTAATGAAACTTAATATTATAATGGAATATTTAAACAAAAAAAGGATTGTGTGGTTTTAAGAAACCACGGTAAAAAAATTTTTTCGCATTATAGACATTTAACTAAAAAAATTTGGGGTATAAAAATCGCTTTATCAATCTTAATTTTATACTTGGAAAATTGGAATGATAGTGGGGAAATAATAAAAGTAGACTAAGTAAGTCTCCATCTAATATTTTTATATTGAACTCTGTGTCTTGGAGATTACGACATCCATAATACGTAACAATTATTTAGATTATATACACATATTAAAAAGTAGTCTATACAATACACGGTCAGCTGCTGCGTACTATAGGCGCTGCCATATTGTCTTGGCTGCTATGACGAGCGCCTTTCACTTTATCCCCACTCCGCGGCCGACCGTCACGCGATATGCAACAGACAGACGGAAAAGTTGATGCTTTGGTATAAAAATAATATGTATTTTGTGACAAAATTTACATGTATTTGATATTCTAAATTTCATTAAAAATATACTTAAAAGTAATACAGTGATAATTTTAATTCGGTAAAGGCTGCTTCTATATTAAATTATTCTTTAAACAATAATATGGCTATAGGTTGAAAACAATAAAGGCTGGTTGCAAATACAGATACAGATTTAACCGACTTATAACAGTACGGGAATATCAACGGAGACTAAAATGTTATACGAAAGACTTTAGTTGACAGGACGGATCGTGTCGCGTGTCGCTAATTGGACGTTGACGTTGACCAATCACAATTAAACGAAATGCGCCATCGTTACGTCATATTCGCATATAAAGATAATATTTTATAACTAAATCAAGGTATTTTGTACATTTATACGTACAACGACTGATGTTTGAGAATGGTATTACGTAGTTTATGTTGGGGAGCAACTTGCTTCAACAATAACGTGATTTGCTATCAAAACAAACGTCGCAGCACACCTGAGAAATAGTCTAGGTACATCGCACAAAAGCCGCTTATAGGTAGCACTAAGGACAGTTTAATAGAAACTAGTCTGTAGAAAATCTGTATCAAAAGCGAAAGCGTACCAAAGTTTGAAAAACGCTCAGTTGTGGAACGGCAGACGTCGAGGTGATACGGGTGGAATTTCGTATTCTGCCTGCCTCTTTTCTGTTTTGAACAGGCACATGATTTCATCCCATCCAACGAGGTCCTGCGTTCGAATCCTGGCTGCTAAAATATTTTTTCTGTCCCCGCAATTGCTTACTCATACGGTTACATCATCGTTAGGAACCCATCATCGTCATAGATAACATCTGCACAGATGCTGACCACCTATTTCAAGGAATTAAATAGAGAAATCTCAGCTCCATTGGTTTTTTTCCTGAAATTAAAATTTTCATTCACAACTTGAATTCAATTAAAATCTCATCAATAAAAATTATAACTACTGACATCTTTCTTCCATATACTTTTCCGTAACTGTGTAAACAATATTTCTTCATACTTTGGCATAGTTGAATAAGAATGTATAAAACATTGTTAAATTCCAAAGTTTCTCTTAAGTAATATCCCTTTACTTCAATACTAAATAGTGAATCAACTTACCAAAGTCTTGAGTCTAGACTGTTATTAATTTAGTAGCAATTATGTTTCATGATAATAATAATGCTTATAATTCTTCACCTAAAGCGAAGAAACGTAAGGATTTTAGAGTTACACAAAAAGTTATTCAGTCCTGAATATTGTAAATTTAAACAAAATATAATATACATTTATTAGCAAACTATCCAAATGATTAATACACGCGTATAATTCGATGTTAGTGTATCGCTTTGTGTGGTTTTATTTTTTAAGTTGCCAATACTTTTATTGTTTTTCGAAGTAATCTCCGTTCCTATCTACACATCGTCGCATTCACGTGTAACAAGAGTTTTAGATTTGCCGCCAATTCACAAAAACAAATGACAAATGAATGCAATATACTACATGAGGTTACCAAAGAGTTCTAAAATTGAAATTCAAAAAACGTATTCATTAGCAATGTTTGTAACTGGCCAGTTCTGAACACTTTCAGTGTTACCCACGTATCAGCGAAATCTATGCAATGTCAATATCTATATTATCATAACTTAATATACCTACTGATTTAAATGGATTCCGTTCATTTTCTTTAATAAAACATATCACGCACAGCCAAAATTTTGGCAATGAACAAATATATGGAGGATCATATATGGTGAATATCGTGATATGAATATTCTCCAGGCTAAAGTATTTGACCTCTTGTTTGCTACCAAAAGAAAGAAAAATCTTATAGCTATATCTTAGTTAAATTAATTATCCATTTTGTTTACGTTTCTCATTTGTTTCATTTATAAACTCTCTGACTAACAATAGAGGCTAGAAGCTTAGATACTTTGATAGATTTAGGATTTTCACATCTAAAAAGATAGAACTCTAACGTTTAAAAACTATCGTTTTATTTTATTTATTTATTCATATCATCACGTCGGAGATCACGGCTCTCACCTTATCCACTTTCATGATATTCACCATGTTGCATACATCAATCAATCAATCAAAAATCATTTATTCATGTAGGTAACACAATGTACACTCATGAACGTCATAAAAAGAAATATACAATAAATGCTTCTAATTTTACATTTACTGCCAGTTCTCAAATCAAGGGCGTAGAACGGAAGAGAAGAACTGGCAATAAACTCTCCGCCACTCTTTTTAATCGGCAAGTTTTTTGTTTTACACAACGTTTGTAAGGAGCTGCAACCATTACACCAGGTGCCACATGACATCCCAAGTAGTAAATAATAATAAAATAAATTAAAAACAAATATTTGTCCTCTATCAGCAGGAGGCATGGTGTAAATTTCTCACAATAAACATATAGACCAGTTTTGATTTTTATATCACATTTTAATATTGCAATTTTTTTAAATATATAATATATCAGCCTCAGATATCTGTATCTGTTTCGATTTCAAATAGACAAGTAGGTGATCAACCTTCTCTGCCTGACACACTGTTTTTTTGGGTCAAAGGCATGGTGGTTTCCTCAAGATGTTTTCCTTCACCGTCAAAGCGAGTAAATGCGCACATAAACAGAAAGTCTATTGGACAGTCGAAAATCGAACCTAGGGCTCCAGGGATAAGAGTCGTATGTTGTACCAGGTCAAAGGTAGGTTCAAATATAAAGTATAGCAACTTTAAATTGTGAACAGTTGTCCCTTTTATTAAAGATACTTTTAGTCTAAAACTCATATCTAATAACAAAGCTAAATAAATCACTGTCACGCTGGGAAAAAATTGACGTGTAAAGCTGAGGAACTAATATGTAACGTTCCCGATCATATTGTGTTAAAAATGGCTTAGCGGTCATATGATGTATCGAAGTATCGTTTTACAATATCGGTGATCAATTCACAGCTAGAGGGTTAAGGATCAATTTCGTGGATATAAAGATGTTCGCTATATTTCCAAAGCTTTTTAATTGGACTATACGTATACTCCATTATTATTGAAAATTTCATGAATTCCACGACATAAATTAGCAATATTGCTAAATGTCCGAGATATATATCTCGGGCATAGACCTAGACAAAAATAACGCTGTTTTAATTAATATAACGCCATCTAGCGAAGAAAATGTCAAATTCTAAAATACTGATTTACCAATATTTAAGAATTTTTGAATTATAGTAAAAGCCACTGTCATAGTTTACAGTGTAAGACTGAGAAAGACAAAAAGAAGAAAACAATTACGCTGTTTCAATTAATATAACGCCATCTAGCGAAGAAAATGTCAAATTCTAAAATACTGATTTACCAATAATTAGGAATTATTATTGAATATTAGTAGAAACCACTGCCATAGTTACAGTTTATCACCACTGGTATGTTACAACCAAATATTTAAATCGGATTTGCTTTCTAATTTAGAAAGAGGGCTAACCGCAACCGCTAAACTAGGACATACAAAATATATTTACTTTAATTTCCTTTGGTACCTCAGTATATTAAAGGGAACGGATATTGTACACGTTAACAATATTTTACGTCACTTCTGCAGCTCATAAAACACGTTGTGTATCAAATCTTTCCCATAATACATTGTAAAATATGCTATTTTTATTACATTTTTCATACTTGCTCCTAGAGTTTTATAGAATGCGAAACGTATTCAATCATTTTGATATTGCAAACGACTGTTCAAGTTTGAAATTGTACGCTGTATATATTTTTCCGGTATTTTAATAATCTTAAAACACATAAAGAGAAGATTTGATTGCTTTTTTGGAATGAATGGGCTATAAACTACTAGACCAAATTGAAATATTCTTTCACAATTAGGATCCTAAATTATTCCTGATGTAGGCTATAGAATAATAATAAAAAAAGGGTGCGCGTAAGAAATTATACTTCTTTGGCATTATTAAAAATAGTTTTTGATTGCATGCAAATAATTAATTACAATTAAATAATCAAAGACTGGAAAAGGAGTCATTATAGACAATAAAGTTCAGTTTACATTTGAAAAATTAAATAAATAAATATTTATTATTATTCTCTTACATTAAGTGTAACATAAATTCTAATATTATTCGAATTTTGTTTTTAAATTATGTCCAATAGCATCTTCCGTGGGCAACTTCATTTTGTTAATTTTGTGTCACGGTGCGCGCGCATCGTAAAATTTCACTCTCATCAATTTTTCATAACGCGCCTAAAGAAGTATAAGTATACTTCAAAAGTTAGGAATCGAAATGTATCAATATAAACTCCTATATCGCCGTTGACCATAGCTTTAGTAAATAATTGTATTTAAAAATTAAACGATATATTGTATTATTTCTTTGCAGGGTGCGATAGAGGCTTTAAAAATAACCACAGGAGGGGACGGTATTTCTGAAGTGTGTTCAAATGTGAGTATAAATACACAGAAAATATAAAAAATAAAATAATTTTTTGAATAACATTATTTTTATATTTCAGGGTTTACCGGCTAGCGTAAGTATTTTATTAGTTAATGTTTGCTTTACGAAGCCTTATTGATTAACAATAATTATCTTAATGCAAATGCAAAGTTAACAACTGCAATTATCTTCACTAAATTTAAATCCTATACCTTTAACAGCAAATGTACTCACAATTACAATAAAGTCATAAGAGCCATTTCGATTACTATAAATAACGATATAGAAACTGACTAATGTTTGCGCATTTTGAAATAAACTTTAATTAGCCATTCAATTTACGGAGAAATCAAAATATCAGTACAACTATCTTACTATTTGATCAATAGTAAGATGTAGGCTCTTCTTTATATGTTAACTGATTATTATTTTTTTACCTAGCTTTGCCAAATTTACTTCGTAAATAACCAAAATATATATTTGTAATAACATTACCAACTTGCTACTTCTTCTTATAACAATTTTCTTTCGTAGACTCCAGGATCTTTGGAACTCAACACAAATAAAGTAAGTTTCATTTTAAGCTTGTGAAATTGTAATACTTTAAATTTTCCATATTCCTTATCTTACATAGATTATTTTACCGACGAAAATGTGGAAAAGGTTTTAAAGAATAATTAATGACAATCTGAGGGAGTTTGAGAAGTTAGGGCTTGGAGAGTTAGGAAGTCTTGGCAACATTAAAAAAAAATTAAAAAGTTTTTGGCGGAATTTAATATTTACACATACTCAACAAAATACCGATTTTATATAAAAATACGATAACTATTAAGGGTATATAGTACGTTTGACAAAATAGTAAACGTTAAGCCAAGTATAAATTAGAATACATATACATATATGCTGAAATACAAAATTACAAATCTTAGATAAACACCGTGGTAAGCAACGTTCAAGAAAAAATTGGTTTATTTTTCAACTTCAATAAAGGAGATTGATGTATGTGTAGATATTATAGGACTTGGATAATAATATATACATAAATATATATAAACTATTTTTTATTATTGCTAGACTAACGCTGGCCATAGACGGGCGGGAGGGGTCGGTCCGGACGGGCCCACGGCGGAGTTGGGGGGCGCACCCACGCCACGGTGTCTTCGGCGCGTACGCCTGCGAATAAAGACAGAGGGTCTCACGACAATCTTGTAAATGAACTCGCATCAGTTTTATTTTGCGGTCGAACACAACTGATTCAAGCAGTCGCCCCGGGCGGGCTTGTGGCGGTCGTGTGCGTCTTCAACGCGACTGTCTCGAGCTTGTGGTCTCGACTGCAACATGCGGTCCGTCTATGACCAGCGTAAGAGTACAAAAACCCCATAAAGTGTGTCATACCAAGATTTTAAATTTAATTTTGGAATATCCCAACTTAGAGAACAGCCAAAGTTTCATGAAAATCGTTTTAGTAGTGGCCAAATATCCCATAAATTTTTGGAGGGGACATGTATGTAGGTAAATAATGTTGACAAGTATTATCGGTTTAATTATTCCTGATAACATTAATTAATTGCCTTTTTCGTCAGCTTCAAAATATTAGTCAGAATTGAGTCGTAAAATTTTCAATAGAAAATGTATCTGTTAAATCAACTTTACATGAAAAATTCACGCGCAGCAATAATGACTGGTTTTTTGAATCCAGGTGATTGTAATTTTAAAAAGCATGTTAATACTTACTTTAATAGCAAAAATCCTTCTAGGATCATCCAACAGCTGAACACCTTAGAGCAGTATGTAGAAATTGTATTAATTGACAAACTGTTTGCTTAATATTGATGTTATGCCTAATTTTACGCTTCATACTGTATCCGGCGAGTCTCAATAGCTTGTTTTAATAATCTGAAGTGCATGTAATGTGTATTCTTTTTACAAATACAGTGTAAACTCTTTATAACGCCATTCGCTGTAACGAAAATCTCTATAACGTAAAATAGTAACGTTTGTTTGGGTTAACACAAAACCCATACACTAATTCAGTCTTTATAACGCAACAGCCATTCTCTAACGAAGAAATATTTTCATATTTAGACATCAACAACATACATAAGTGTAATTGTTTTTATAATCTGCTTACAAAACTATACTTTTGAGGTGCCGAAATTTCTAAGAAAGACACCTGAGTTCATAAATCGCCGTATCGCCTTTGTTAATGTTAATAATTGCATTAACACGTGTGCCATTATTCTTAGATTACATTGCCTGTAGGAAATTTTGGTCTCAGTTACTAAACGCACCACCGTCACCTATAGTGTATTATCAGTCGTAAACAAACTTTGAAACTGTCAAGATGGCCCGTAAAAGAAAAGCGTTATGTGTTTAGAATAATTATACTAATCACTCCCTATAACGAAAAAAATGATCGCTCCCTTGAAATTCATTATAAAGAGTTGACACTGTGAGTTTAGAATTTTTAGCGCGGGTGAATAAATTTGGAAGGCTAAATGAATATGAGCTTGCTTTATAAGTTATTGAAATTGGCCACGATCGCTTACGCTTTGCAGTGTTGCCGCTATAGGTGATAATATTTGGTCTGTATAAATAATAATAAATTATTTTTTAGTTTATAGATTTAACCTCAGATGACCCCTTTGCCACGTCTGATACTGGTGAGTAATATAATTATAGTATTTTTAGGTCAATTAGACACTGATTTGAATCTCTTTCATATACCACTAGCGGCCTGTCCCAACTACACACGGTTGGGTTATAATAAATTGGGAAATATGTTACTGCAGCATAGAGTGCAGCTTTGACATAGTTATTTATGTAATAGGAGGCAAACGGGCAGAAAGCTCATCTAAAGTTAAGTGCTACCGCTGCTCATGGACACTCACATCGCCAGAAGACTCGCAAGTGCGTTGCCTTCTAAGAATTGGTACGCCCTTTACTTGAAGGACCCTAAGTCGAATTGGTACGGAAATACTTCAGTGGGCAGCAGAACCAGGGCAGCTGGTTCCACATAGTGGTGGTGCTTTAAAAAATGCTCAGTTGTGAAACGACTGAATGAATTTTAGGAACCGAGACAAGCATACAAATATTACTATTCAATATAATTTTATAAAAGTATTTACTCTTTACAATAAAGATAAGATTAATAAATTAACTTAATTCAATGATAAAAACACTTAATATTTATTATTTGAGCGCGAAATAAACCCATATTATAGGCAGGCGTGTCCCACCACCGTGGTCTGTATCTAATAAATTTTTCTTGATTTAGTCTACTATTCGTTTTTAATAAAAAAAATTGTTATTATTTTAAATTATCTATTTATTTCAGATACGGATATAACAGGAGAAAAGGGTGAAAAGGTATTTTATTAATCTCTCTCTTAATCACATTTTTGCAAAGCTATCTTTTCCAGAAATTTGAAATAACTTATCAATTATATCGCTCGCTTTTTATCACATATTTATTGTTTGTAAGAATTCTGTTAGTTAGCAATAGTTAATAAGTACAATCCGGTTATTTTTCTATTTTTGTGTGTGGTAGATGTAAGGTTATATTGTATAATGCCCATTGGCAAACCCTTTTAAATAAATAATAAAAAATCTGTGGCGCTTTTAGGGATTAATACAATCGTATCTACCAATTTTGAAAGATATAGAGTACTCGTACTGACCTTGGTCAGAACACAGTATTGTCATTCTTATTCCTTAGCAGCCTTTCTGGATTTCAATCCAAAAATTACGAATGGCTGATTAAAACAATTGATCTACAAGCAAGTCTGTTATGAAGTCTCTGTGTGCTTAAGATGACAAATGGGTTAACATTAAGTAGTTACATTAAAATTGGTGTTACAGGGAGATAAAGGAGAAACAGTTATTGGACCATTAGGACCACAAGGACCTAAAGGAGAGACAGGGGTAAGCATTTAACACTTTTGAATTCATTGAAGTATAGGAAAAATTGTTATAGTATATGGTCGCGAATACCTGTATTTTTGCTAATAAATAAAATCAATTCCCCTTTACAGACGTGTCAGTGTACAGAAAACGATGTATCCAAGATACTTAAAAGTGTCGTAAGCAGTGTGCCAGAATTGCATGGTCCCCCTGGAGAAGCCGGGCCAAAAGGTAGAGATGGTTATATTGGAAAACCAGGAGCCCAGGTAATGAAAAACTTTTTTTGGAAATCCTTAAATCTATGATATTCTATGATATTTACCTGCCACGAGGTTATGGCATCTCATGCGAGCTAAATTATTCATACATATATTTATATTAGAAAAGAAATTGCGGTTTAATAAATCTATTTTTTTATTCTAGGGTGATATCGGTCCAGTTGGGCCTATAGGCCCTAGGGGAGAAAGAGGTGAACCAGGTGATCCTGGAAGAGATGGAGTAAGTGGGCCTAAAGGTGACACTGGAAAAGACGGCGCTATAGGTCCTCCGGGTCCCCCTGGTCCAGAATGTCCCGCACCAGTCGTAGAGAAGGTGATTGTATAAATAATTATAGATACAATGCACTGCAAGTACAAAGAACTTTCTCACATCTTAAAAAAACACTGGAACAAATATTGTCAGGGATTATGTTGACAGAAAATAGAAGAGACAGCAGTTCCTGTGAAGAGTGAAAAAGGTGATATGGGACCAATGGGGCCTCCAGGAGTGGCTGGCAGTATGGGCATTGATGGACAGAAAGGGGAGAAAGGAGAGCAGGGAATTAAAGGGGAGAGGGGGGATGACGTTACGAAATACCTTACATATAAGGTACGGGTGGCCTTAATATCTTATTAAAAATAAATAATCTTGATTAAAAAGCTTACTGCTTACTTATACATAAATTAATAATAATATATAGACAGCGAACAACAGTCAAAATGTAAATCTGTTTAATTCACTCTTTTAACTAAAGTATTCTTTGGTCTCTGTCTGTCAAATTGTGTTTACGCTTTAACGAAATGAGACAGATACTTTATTAAAAAAAGTGTAATTAGACTGATTTAGTTTTAAGGGTTTAGGCGGTTAATTTTTTTTGCAGGGCCTGGATGGTAAACCAGGAGTTAAAGGCGATAAAGGTGCACCTGGTGAGCGAGGATTGGATGGAGTTAAGGGTATACAAGGAGAGAATGGGAAACCTGGAAGCCTCGGAATTAAAGGTAAAAAGTATAACCCACACGAGACAATTTCTCAATAAGATCTTGTTTGAGCAGTATAATTTGATTTAATGCGTAATTAAAGCAGATGTCCACCATCTTTTAAGATACATCCAGAATTTAACTTAAAGCCGTTACTTAACTTATAATGAATTGTTTATTTTAGTATTCAGTATAATGTGTTTCCTTAAAACACTTTTTATCCATAACGTACAGATTGTAATAAAATTTGTATAATATAATTGTAGGAGATAAAGGTGACAAAGGCGATATAGGTGCACCAGGTTTGCCGGCTAAATTGTCATCAATACTAGATGCAACAATAGATCCTGAGGAAAGTAAGTACTGATTGAGAAGGCAGCAGAAATATTTATACAAAGTTTTATGATCCACTCTGATACAAAATCATCGTCACTCGTACAAGTCTCATTAACATTACAAGTTACGCTGCGCTGATGCGCTAACAATATTACGCCCAGATTGACAGTTGACAGTTAACATATGATTTATGTTTATTCAAGTTTTCGCCTAAATGAAAACGTTTCATTTTAAATTAGTCGAAAGTTAAGTAACTTTTAATTTTTGCATAAGAAAAGAAAGAAAATACTTTTGAAAAACTGAGTTGTTAAACAAGTGTTTAGCGGTAACGGCGCATCTCTACTATAAACTTGTGATTCAATTTGTTTTTGCTATCTTGATTTATTATCATTTTATCAACCTCGCATTCGCGAAATCCATTACGCTTCACTTATACTAACAGCAGCTTAACTAGCAAATATTTAAATTTTCCAAAATGTTATTAGAAAACTCCTTTATTGAAATACAAAATACACATGTACGAACAATATTTCAACAATTGATACACAAAAATATTTATCTACAAATAAACCTAAACAAATTTTAATATAACAAAACTTCAGTCATGTAAAAATAACGTAAATATATTGTATCCCAAATATTTTGTAGCTACTATTTACCTCTATTAGCTTTGAACCTTATCCCGACCCGACCTATTGTCCCTACTTTATGTTTTGTCCTTATTTCTTATATGCCGAGAGACCGAGAAGCATTATCGGAGTTGAAAATCTCTGGCTAAGCAACCGTATATTGAATGCTGGTCATGTCATTTTTCGAACGGATGAACCATATCAAGAGCCCTTGAGATAACCCTTAAGGTTATGGCGTCATTTTATAAAAACATTTTTAGATTATATCAATCATTTTCTGCGTCATTATTCAAGACATGAGAGAATTAGCAATGTCGGAAAGTTTTGAACGAATTCGGCTAGCGATTCTACAAAATTTATACATTCAATCTACATCCGTGAATCGTGCCAAGCCACCACAAATGCCGTTGCATGAACGAAATTTTCATCCATCACATATTATTCCATTTGCTGGGCCAGCGATTAATTGTAAGTGATGGAGAGTCGATTTGCATTTTTGAAATTGTAATGTTGACTTTTGTCAATTTCAATGTAACTATCATAAACTAATCTCAGATCAGAACCAGAAGTTTCATAAACTAGAACGTAGTGTTTCATCACTACTAAACGTAATGCATGATCGCGTGCATGTCTAAAATGGATACGCAAATTTTAAATTTAAATATCGCTGCTATAAATTAGAAAGTAGTGACAAAAACTTTAACAGCACTTCACCTACCCCGTTAATTTAATTAAATTCCGTGACTTTGATACATACCTTTTTCAATGTCTAAACTTTTACAGATGCAGCTGTGGTAGAAAAGCTTCGGGGGCTTAAGGGTGATAACGGTGAGACAGGTCTTAAGGTAAAAAACTGCAATAAATATAATTGAAGCTGTGTTGTGTAATTAGCTGAAGATGATTAAACACTTTGTTCCCAGGGAGAAAAGGGTGATCAGGGATTAATAGGACCCCAAGGGCCTCAGGGCAAAGATGGCGTTGACGGTCGCCATGGTGAGCGAGGTCTAACTGGTCACAAAGGAGATTTGGGCCCTGAAGGTCCACAGGGAGCAAAGGGTGAAGCAGGACTTCCCGGTGCACCAGGAAATGTTCCTGAATCTGCCATTGCTTTATTAAAAGTAAAATAAAAACTGCATTCGAAGAAGTTTATCGCTTTAACTGGTTTAATTATAAAGCCATAACTTATTCAGGGTTCTAAAGGAGACCGAGGTGCTCCAGGGAAAATGGGTAGTCGTGGACACACAGGGCATCCAGGAAAACATGGATCGGTCGGACCAGCAGGTCCAAAGGGGATAAAAGGCGACAGAGGATCACAGGGTTTCAAGGTATATCTGATATCGTTACCAATATATTATACAATACTAGCTGACCCGGCAAACGTTGTTTTGCCATGTATAATTGTATATTATTTTTAGGAAACATATTTTTAGTCCAACAAAAATAACTATCTACTATAAAAAAAATATTTATCGTAGAGGGAGGAGAGGGGGTGGGGGGGTTGTTTGTGTTTTTGTATGTATTATCATAAAAAAAAAATGTGATGGACACGGGTGAATCATAAGGGTATCACTAAGGGGTTTGAAAGATAGTAGCCGATTCTCAGACTTACTGAATATGAATATAAAATTTCATAAGAATCGGTTTCGGAGGAGTATGGGAACGAACATTGTTACACGAGAATTTATATATATAGATGTTGTGTAAATTGATTAACTAATTGAAAATATTATTTTAAAAGGGTGAAAAAGGAGACAAAGGCCTCGACGGAACACATGGATCAAAAGGGGAAAAAGGTGAAACACCTTTTATAGACTACAAAAAGGTATTTTAAGCACACAATACTTTAAACAACCAGAAAATTTTCATTATGTGTAAAAACTGTAAAGTTTAAGATTATTCTTGCACAAAAATATTTACGGGAATAAACATCTGTCGAAGTGGACATGGGGAGAAATTGGCTGTGCCAAAAATCAATCTGGAACTGTTTAGGAAATTACCTTTTGTATGGCAATCAAGACTTACAATAATTTACCAAAAGAATTAAAAGATCTTCCGACAAGAGTCTTTAAAAATCTACTTGGTGTATTACTTTTGGAAAAAATGTATTATTCTATAAATTATTATTTGCGTGGGACACTGTAGTTGATATAAATTTAATAACGTATGATATCATATGTACGATACAAATAATATAAGAACTGACTAATTCATATGACTAATAATGTAAAATTCCTTTAAAGACAAATTTGCGCGCCATTGTGTGTGGCAGAAAATGCGAACTTACGATTGTACCACCTTACACATTTCTGTACCATATTCTTGCAATAAATTATTATTATTATTATTGAAAATATGTTGACTATTAACCTACTCACGTCTCATGTTAAAAAATACAGGCATTACACTTGCGTCAAATCAGAAATACATTTGTGAATAGCTTTGATTATTATTTAAAGATAACAGAAAATATTGCGTAAAACTCTTAACATTGTAACGCATGACACAATACACATAATACATAAAAGTTTCATTCAACCACACATTCGCCTGAAAATAATGCTAAAAAGTTACAAAAACTTACAGGTCAAAGGTGAAAAGGGTGACACAGGTGCACCTGGCACTGCCGGTGAAGCAGGGAAGCCTGGTATCCCTGGCACATGTGAAGCATCGGCTTGTCCATCTACTCCCGGTCCACCTGGACCGCCTGGCCCGCCGGGCTCTCCAGGAATATCCCTCACTGGACCCAAAGGAGAACCTGGTGGTATTGTGCCCCAGAATAATTTTGTACGAGCAGGTAATTTGAAATTCCACTTTCACCATTTCAACCGTTAGTGCTTTAACTTTAGTTCAATATAAAATTTTGATATTAAGTGAGAGATAGTAAGTTATAAAACAATAGGTGGCTTAGTGGATATTAGAAAGGACTTAATAATAAAAAAAGAATTAATACTAACCTATAATCATTATAATATTTGGAAGAAATAATTCAAATAAGTTTTTCAGAAAGATTTTAGGATCAAATTATTTTAAACCTCATATTATCACGGTATGTGTCATTTATTCTAAAATCTGTATGGTGTACCTTAATTGAGAGCGTTTCCGTATAGTTATATCAAAATGACATACCCTTTATATGGCTGAGTTTGTTATCAATTACAAGGCCCACTGTGAAGGCACTAAAGAAAATGATTGTTTGGCCCGTCAGTTTGCTACGATTTTTAAATTACGAGTTATAAGTTTAAAGAAATCTTTTTTTTCAGGTTCATTTGACGATGACGAAGATATGTACACAGCTGCAACAATCGTATTTAAGACTACTTCGATTCTTCTAAAGGTAATTTGTAATGTAGCGAAACTTTGCCCTTAATTATTTTATGCACGTAATACAAAAACACCATAAAAAGTTGTTGCAAATCTACTTTATAACCAATTTTTTAAAGTTATATTTTTATCTTTTTTGGATTCTTAACCTGAAGGTTATGTTACAGGAATTCAACGAAGATAGCTGTATACTAATTTCTTATTTTTTTTAGAAAACTACCGATATTCCAGTAGGCACGATAGCCTATGTAATACAAGAAAGGATTTTACTCGTACGCGTTGAAAATGGTTGGCAAAATGTGGACGTAAGTTTCTATTGATATTTATTGATTTGTTTGATTATATGCTTCTGGTTTAAGGATTTCTAACTAAACTTATTAAAGATCTCTGTCTCCTAGAAACCAAAACCTGATTAGAAATAAACTCCTTATCACACGGGGAGTCTTATTGTAAATAAAATAGAAACACATTTTTTTGACCGGATGCTAAAAATTACTTTCATCTATAGTTAAGAACGTCCAGTACAATAGCTGATATAGAAAAATATAAATTTACATTACTCTAACACGCAAACAAAAAGTATCAGGGTGAATTTGGGGTTTTTTTTCTAGATGGGTTCGCTATTTTCAGCGCGAAGTACGTCTTATGGATACGCTGATATTCCCGAGTCTACGTTGCCTTCGAGGACTTTATCTAGCGATGAAAAGTCATTTGTAAGTATACTATTAATAATAGGAAATGTTATCAGCTTCTCTAGTGTAAAAAGCTTTTTTCTTCCTTGTTACATTGCTTTAGTAGTTTAAAAATTTAACTACACATTTTAGTGAAACTTCGTTATATAAACAAATAACGTTATAAATTCGTGTTATTCTGTAGCTAAATGTATTATCATTATATACTTTATTGTCATTATAATAAAATACAGTAACTAACAATTATCACATGCTAATGGCAATAATATAGTAAAGATTTGTATTTTTGTAGCGAATACACTTAAAAAAAGGAACGATTCCAAAAATTAGTTCACTATTCCTCTGAGTAACATAAGCTATAATCTTTCCAAAATCTATATAAATAAAAATTAATCCCAAAATACGTTGCAAAGCGCAAAACTCGAAGACGGCTATATCGATTCGAGTAAGTTTTGACCATAACCATGATGAAGGTTTTTATGCAGAGTTCGAAAGTTGCCCGGAAAAACTTGAAAAACCAGTTTTTTTCTGTAATTGTGAACGCAACAGTTTAGGTGTATCATTTTTCAAGGTTTAAGGGTTACTGATGTCCGTGAAAAGCCGGGGCGGGATGGGTCGCTTGTATTATAAATGACTAAATATATTGTTTCCTATAATAAACTAAAAATACTAACCTGAAACTGAAAACACCAAAATTAACAGAGATGTGTATATTAAAGCACTCAAACACCCTACAAAATGTTTACAGTCTATAATTTTTTTTTTTTAACTAATTTTATTAATGAATGAATTGAATTAGTGAATTTCTTAGTATTCGGATGTGTAATTTCAAGCAAAAAAGTAACCAATATTTAACAGTACTGCATCGATGGCAAGGGACATATTTAATTCAAAACACGATTTTATATAAACAAATTCAAATTTAAAAATTTCATGAATCTAACTGCTACAACAAAGTATTTCTATTCCATTCAATATAGTTCCAGTGACTTTAAAAATGTAAAGAATAAATGTTTGCAAAGTCATACAAGTTCAATATGCATGCCCTGTCCAACATTTACGTTTCTAACACAAATATTTGTACATAGAAATTGAACCTGATTCCCGATATTGACCCTACAGATAGAATATTACTGCGAAATGTATTGCCAATGGAGAGATATTTATTTTTTATGAGTAGTCTTACAGGTAACACACATCCATATTATACAAAGCCAAAACAGATTACATTGATAAACAAAATATATAAAACAGAAAGTACATTAATAGACAAAATATATACTAAATAATTTATTCACAAATGTTACGGCTTTAATAATAAACAATTCTGAATTTTCGCCTTAGTGGTTAACTTAGTATTCATACTCGTATGAGTATTGTTTCATAATACAAAAGGCTTTTCATTAACTTGCCTTAAAAAATATTATTTTTAAGCCTCTAATGAATGTCCAAACTTATAATAAAAACAACATATTTACAAACGAAATCATTGGACTTAAGCTATAATACGTTAATGTATAAATTATGATAGGCCTCTCTAAGGAAAGTATCAGTTTTTCATAATATACAACCAAGGTACGGGGATTTTACCCTTTCTTTTTAGAAGAAATCAGCACATTGTGTGGTAATTACCTTTCAATCAAATGTTTCTAGAGGCATTCTTCAGCATCCAGTCCCGTTTAAAGCTTTAAAAAATCTCTAAGAATGGAGTATAAGATGTCTGGGTATAATGTATTGAAAAAACCGCATTTGGCGATGGCGTGCGCGAAATCTAATCGATCCTTTCCGATTTCCTGTCAATTTATTCTGTAAAGTATTCAATTATGCGTATGCAGTGTAACTGTGTATTAACTATTGTAGTATTTCATTATATTATCATTTTACATTAGATCCGTCTTGTCGCCTTGAACGAGCCGTATCCAGGGAATATGTTGACATCTATGAATAGGACTGGAAGGAACGCAGTCAATCAAGAGTGTTATCGACAGGCATTCAGGGAATTCCATGCGAATAATTTTGTCGCGTTCCTCACTAATAAGTAAGTACAAATATATTATAAATGGTTATTGTATTATTATTGTATGATGAAATTATATTATTTACAATACAACAGTTGGATTACTTAAAAAATACAATGTGAATTTGAATAGAAAGAGTTTGCAAATATTAGCATTTGTTTGTGTCTATGAAAGTTTGTATTCTGAAAGTTAGCTATTGTGAGTGTAAAATATTAGTCTAGGAGATTTCATCAAAGTTTGTTGGCGTTGATTCAGAACTCTACAAATACTTGATAACAGTAGAGCGATTATTAAAATTGTTGAATCTTGGAAATATTTCGTTATTAAACTTGTAATAAAAATGTTTATAAGAATTGAAAAACAATTATTTCTCTAACATATACAGTAGCACTTCGAATATTACATGTAGCCCTGGATGAACTAGGTTCTATGCCGGGAAAGGGTCATTGTACATTGTATATAATTTAACTATGTAAGCGACATAATTTACTTGAGTTTAGCATATATCCAATTTATAAAAGTTAAAAATAATATATAATGGACTTATACATTTAAATAAATTAATATAATAAATAAATATTCAAAAATAATAGACTTCCATATATTAACGTCAGAACATGATAAAACACTATTGTTATTGATATATACTTTTTCAATAACGTGTATTATATTTAATAAAAAATATCATATCTATTAGCATAACAAATTGGAACAATTTGTATAACAAATGATAATACAACAATAACATTGTAGTTGGAGCATTGATAACAGTGATTACAAAGTAATTGTATAATTAAACATGCGTCCAATATTACAATTAGATTTAGTATTCGATATCGATTATTTAATGTCATTTATAATACGTAAAAGTTATTATACAATTATTTATATGCCTCAGATAAACCAGTCAAGTGGTTAAGATATTTGATTCATATCGCTGAAGTTAATTCGCAATTTACGTTTTCTAGTGCAGTCAGGAAAAATATTGGAGTCGGCACGTCTTTGAGGTGAATCTTGTATTTGCGACAGGCTAGCTATAATGGTGAACAAAAAATCAATTTAATGTGTAACGATAAATCGATTTGTGGAGGTTGAAAGTGTACGGTTCCTCCAACCCAAATAGAGGATCAACAAATATCTATATTTACGTACATAATCCAGCCGAAAACCTACCAGCTTAATATTTATTTACTCAGCGTTCGGAAACACTTTCAAGCTCGATTCTCCGTAGTACTGATTGTAGCCCAGATGTCACCACATATATTTTATTGTTTATTGCTAACAATATATTTTTTTAGTGTGGAGGATCTGAAATCTCTAGTCAAAACAAGTGCGGATCGAGCCGTACCAATTGTCAATTTACATGGAGAAGTCCTTTTTGAATCCTGGCTCCATCTTTTCAATGGGTCCGGTGCTCCACTGCCAATGAATAAGCTATATAGTTTCAACGGACAAAGAGTTAGCAGTAATAAAAATTGGTAAGTTTTTAAGGAATTTAATAAAATAGCAAATATTTTTTGTGAATATTAATTTCAGTTAAATAAATGAAATGTTTAAATTTTATTTAATACGAATATGAACAATTTTATTATTTGTAGATGTTTCCTATATAATCGAAGATAAAAGGAATTAAAATTAGGTTTCTCTTGAGGCTGATATATCAGGATTATTAAGCATTTGATAATAATTCTTAAAGTTGGTCACCAGATTTAAACTAATTCATAGAAAATTAATTAGTAATTCAGTAATCAATTGCACCGTTTTAGGTGCACATCTCTTTTGATTACAGCGTAAACACAATTGGACAGAGACAGACAAAAGAGTTTCTCTTCATCTTGTTCTTTTTATGAATGGGGTTAAAATTATAGACATAAAAACAAAACACCAACGAATCGTATAAATTTAAGAAATTTGATTTGATACACCCACATAGCCGACAGCTTAACAACGCCTAGGCCGTAGTTGATATACTTGCTCAAACATTATTATAGCTATCGTACTATAATTGTACGACAGGTATCACTTAACATCAGGGGAGCCATCCTGCCCGTTTGCCCCCTGTTCTTAAAAAAAACGTCAGTCTTGTTTGAAAAAAAATTCAAACAAGAGTTGGGGTATTTAACAAGCATGAATATTTTGTGTACTCTACAAATTATATAGAACATCTTTCGAACTATCTTTTTGACAATTATCATTTAAACGTATACTTCACGAAACTTTCGTAAAACTCAAGGCTACAATGTGTTTTATGGCGCCTTGTCTTAATACAAAGATGTTGATATTTACTAAATATTATTTTCAGGCCTGAAAAAGCGATATGGCACGGAAGTGACGCGTATGGTTATAGAACTTCAAGAGCGTTTTGCGAAGAATGGCAAAATGATAATCCACTGGATTTTGGAATGGCTTCTCCGTTTGAAGAAAGCAAGCTTTTACACCAAACACTGTATGTAAAAATGAAGTTTCATTGTAAGCTCCGATACATTTAGCTATCTCTCGTTAAATTTTCTTGTTTCTCTCGTTCTTGAAAAAATCTTTCAAAAAGCCATTTTGATCGTTATTAAATAGTAACTGATTTTCAGTAAAAAATTATGCCACGATCCGACCGCAGGTCTAAATAAATATAGAATTTTAAAACCATTGCAATCTTGCATCCTTTTGCCCTTTTAAAAATAATGTAAATATAATCTGACTGATATATTTCTAGCTTAATTTACAAAATTGTTAAAGTAAAGATATATTTTTTTTCAGTTATCCATGTGATAGTAAGCTGATTGTATTATGTATAGAAGCAACATCTAGAAAACACACGATTAGAAGAAGACCGCAGTAAGTTTAACGTTCTAAATTGACTGACGACTCATTGGTCCTGCTGCGATGGGTCCGGGTTCGATCCCCGGCTGAGACGAACATTGATGTGATGAGCATTTGTTTTAGGTCTTGGGTGTTTAAATATGTATTTATATGACTATCTATCTATGAATGTATATCCGTTGCCTAGTACCCATAACACAAGCTTCACCAGCTTAGCATGGGACCCGGAAGTTGTGTGATGTCTTAAAAAAAAAAATTAATAACATTGTTAATAATATGTTTATTATAATGTTTTTTTAAAACACAAAATACTAAATGTTTCGCTTTAAACATAGAATACTTTGTATTATGAAAATGATAAGTTAAGCATTAAAAAAATCCCGTAATATTGTTTGTTACTATATTCTCATTGGGACTTGTACTATTACGGACGGAACGTGTGACAGCTATGAAGGACAAACACAAAAAAAATATACTTGCGAATATTTAAAAAACTATTTAACCCACAAATATGTACAAACAAAGTTAAATTATCACGGATTAACTGCTTTAATGCGGTGTTTGCATCATATTAACTTTCTCGATAAATTGACAGTGTCAGTTTAGATTCCTAACTTTATTATTGTTATATATTTTTCTTACCTACTCGTATTACTTGTATTGTGGACACGATAGCACCATTTGTGTACGTCTTTTACTTCGTCTCTTTTAGTCCAATAACAAAGAGAAAGATTGGCATCGAGGTGTGCTAGTGCGTTCAATCTTCTAGCTGTTTAATATTAGTTCGAAGTTCCGATAACTTTTTGCTAATTACAAACAACTCCTAAATGAATTACCGAACCACGGTAACACTGTAATTGATAATGTTTAATACATTGTAACGGTGTATGTTAAGTAGCAATTATCTGATTTGTCGCTTCAATTCATAATGAGATTGTGGCTTTGACCACAAATACGTGTCCATTCGCTACCCCCATATAGATAATTTATAACAGCTGTGTAATTCACATTATATTTGGCAATGTGATCAATTTCATTAATTCGTATGCATTATTAATTAATAATTTGCATTATTATTGTATGTATTCTAACTTCATGTATAATTTTCCATTAATATTTAGATATTATAAAAAATATGTATAATTATGATTAAACGAAAGTCTTGGGAATGTTCATTGGAATTAATATTTTTAAATTGAAATCATCTTAGGCCATATTATACTGTGTAATATTTTATTAAAAAAGTTCATCAGAAATTAACGCTCGTAAAAACGAGATTTTATAACCTAAGAAAATTTCATGAAGTATTTCAAAATGTTTAAGTTTAAACATTATATTAAATCCTTATAATATAATAAATCGAAGATATAAAAATTTAATGTAATTAACTTTAAATGTTGATATCTCCGATTTATTATAAAAATTTAACTTAGGTCCGTAATTATTACCAAAGTTCCTTTTTTAACATATACAATCGTAAACATAGTAATAAACACGTTTTATTCCACGTTCCACGCTGTACGGTGTGACACCGAGAAAAATTATGTGACCTAATAAACGCATGATTAGATGGTAATATATATGTCACATCCAACTAGCTTAGTTAGCCGTTCAATTAACAGCCTAGCCTTTTAACTAAACGGCACCGTTTAACTAGCGGCCTGAAAGATATTCAGCCGTAGCGTTTGTTACAACATTAAATAAACTGGCTGGCTCATGCTTAGGCCATTCGTACGGTAGAGTCATTATTTGGCAGAAAAAAAAATGAAACAGACATAAAAATATTTCTTTTTAAATTAAATTGCTTGAGTCCAATTCACATTGTTATTGTATCACTCTTCCATTGTAAACTTGTTGTTTTTCATGAAACTTTGGAAAGCACCATCAAAGTTGTGGTTTTCCGACGCCATATTGACAGTTTGAAGAGTTTCGTTTCGAGTTTGAGGGGGCAGAAAGTCGAATTAAATTTAAATTAACAGTCAACAGGCTAGGCAAGTAATGAAGCGTCATCATTCAATACAATGTAGAAAAATTTTCTTAATTTCAGATCGACGAGAAGATCCCGACATACAAGGAAAGAGGACTTTTACATAGAACCTTGAAAACAGTATTATAATGTTACATGTTTGTAAATAAAGACATAATACTTTCAGGAAAAATATTCTAATTATATTAAATTCAGAATAAAATCTCTTAAATTTCAATTGATTACGAGACTTGATACGGAGACAATTAAAACTGAGTTTTTTTAATATTGTAAGCTACCCTAACTGCCGTACTTAGATTACTATTCAATTATGTCTGACGGTACCTAGTGTAATAATTATCCTTAATTTTATTACTGACGTTTAATACCCGATTAGTTGACAAATGTGGTTTAGCATTCATTTCGTATGAACTTTTCAAAATCTTTAGTAATAGCTAAGTAATCGTTAACGAACTATTCGGTTAGGCTCATTTGTATGAGAACCGATGAAAGAAATCACTCACGCAAATTTCGTCCCATACAAGTTAATGAATTTGATTCTGAAAATGAAATGAAAAAAAACTTCAAAGTAGCTTAATGACAAATTTGTTTAATACCGGAACAGAGCTTTTACCCTGTAACTTTCAGTCAAATAAACAAAACCAGTGCCAACATTTTTATATGCAAGTGCGCTGTAGTTCTATCGATATCCGTAGCGCTGATGTTGCAACCTTCGGATCGTGCCGAACAAAAACTCATTTGGGATCGGGATCAATGTCGGTATCGCTAGTGGAAGTTACAGAGGCCCGATCCCATTGTAATCCCATTGAAAGGCTAAAGGACTTTATATATTCTGGAAATAATTGTATTTAATACTTTACATATACGATTTACTTTTAATTGTTTCGTTTGTATCATCAAAATATATTCCAAACCATTGTTGTTGACGCACTTCCCAAATTAGTTAATTAATATTAAAGGTTTCGTAATAGTAAGATATTTCAGATAAAGCCGTCATCCGCTTTATAAAACTCAAAATGATAATACTCTTAAGTTTCTAGTAGTCATACAATTTGACAGTAAATGATAACTGTGTAAGGTGCATTTGTATTAAATTATTCTATGGGCTATGATTGTTATCGTATTATACTTCATGTTTGTAAGTCACTTTAAGTCAAATAATATAAATGTCATAAAATAAATTGCTAGATTTTAGATTCATAAATCTCAATCGGACTTAGGATTTTTGTCCCTTTTCAACATACCGTAAAAACAATTGCATAAAAACGAGATGTACTTAGTAATAGAACTGTTTAGTTTATTATAAACAAGATTATTCTTTAAGGTATTTTATAAAATTGTAACTGACGAAACTTTCAAATACTTATTATTGATTGATTCACGAATCATACAAATTAATCCTTACTATGAGAGTTCCGTCATGGCATTTCATACTTGACAAATGACACACAATGACAATTGATACATGAATATATTGTGATATATTTATAGTATGATGTTTGATATTCTGCGTATTAAAATGTAATTTTGATGTAAGTTAAAGTGCCATTTTTTTTAATTTGTAATAAAATTTGACGTTATAAAATATTTTATTTATCCCCTTAAGTAACACTGATTTAGAACTGATTTATTAAGCAGTTGTACTTTATTAAGACATTCTGTATGTAGTATTTATTACATACTTGCGCCCTTATAGAAAAATATTAAATTACATATCGTCACTGTAGATTGATAACATCGTATGCCAAAAAACCATTAATTTTTTATTATTAGACTCTTATGTCATTTAGCTGGTATAATCATGAAGGAAGGACTTATTTATGTTATTAATAAATAAGTCCCTTTTACCATCTAAAACTATTGACAAAAACACATAATAATATTTTAACGAACATTGACGAAATAAAAAAAAATTCGTTTCCTGTAATGTTTGGTCCTCTGGACATACGAGGTTATCAATCTACAGCGACGATATGAAATATAAATTTAGCAGCGTAACAAATCCTTGTGCAACGAATTAATGTTTATTATTTACATCTCAAGAACGGAATCACCATCTGTTGTCTGATGATCTCATGACCCAACTATCCTCCACCAGAAAGCGGCTGTACCGTGAATGTTGTTGTCACTGATTAACAACTTCCCATGGATAAAGATTGGTCTTCCAAGACACATTTCTAACAGACTTGATGGGACTGTATAAAGCATGTAAGAATTTTCTATTTTATGGTAGCGTCAAGTAGTTTTTAACATCGCGCTGTTATGAAACAAATAAAAAATATTTCTGTGTCGTTCCTACCTACCGCTACCAATAGGATATACTATATTTCTCTGTCGGTATTTTGGTATTTTTATCCCAAAATGGGGCGGTATAATCGAAAGGCGTGGATGAAACTTGATAAACAACAATGATATGTTTCTGGAATGTGACGGACTGCTAGACAATGCGATCTTAGTTTTAATACAAAATACACAAAAGAAAGGTACAGTATTATTTAATTAACTGATGAAAGCACCTGACCGCATATAGTTAGACAGTGTTTCTTTATTAATACAAGTAATCGTTTGAGATCTGGGTTTATCGATGTATGCCTAAAATATCTTGGACATACCGCATACGAAATACAACCGTGCTGAACAGAAACAAAAGAACGAAGAAGTGCGTATGACGGTAAAGAAAAGAAAACTTGAGTATTTCGGACACGTTTTACGTAACACCAAAAATTACGAGCTCCTTCAACTAATCATACAAGGCAAAGTGGTAGGTAGAAGGCGACCTGGTCACAGAACAACAGGTTTAAAAACCTAAGACTGGTCAAGGCAACGAGTCATTGTTTAGAAGCGCGGCATCCAAAATTCGCAAGGAGATGGCACTATAAGAAGTAATCCTTCAATATGAGAGCGTACCGATTCTTAATAGGCCGGAATGCATTTGCAAACATTCTGGTAGTGTGTGTCAGGTAAGTCGCCTGCCCGTTTGCTTCTTGTACTATGAAAAAACATGTGTGCAATTTACACGTGGTAGAAGTGAAACCTTTAAACATTTTGATTTCAAGATAATGAGACAAATGTTTGATTAAAACTATTTACAGATACACTAGATTTAAGTATATACACTGTATAATGCTTCCTATCTCATTTTCTCCCACGTTAAATCTTATGAAATTATGTATCTGTCTCTTTTGACTGTCGCTTTTTCGTTTCATCGACTTTCAAATCAAGATGCTAAAGAAATTTTAATTTCAAAAACGTAGAATATAATGAAACTACGTGAAGCCAACGAGGCAGCTAGTATACCTATAATATCGTTTAAGCAAAGGCCTCGCTCATTTGGAATAAGACTGTCGTGAAAGTGGCTCCTCGAAATGCACTTACAGTGAAATTGCGATATCAACCTTTGATTTTTCCAGTCATTTTATGTGAAGCCTAGATTTAGAAACTAGGTTTTTCTTATAAAGGCCAAGCCTTGACCCATATTGCGTTAGAGTAAGGAGTTCTGAATAGAATGTGGTATACCGTTTCAGTACAATATCCAAAGGAATCTTCCGATTATTAAAACTGAAACTTTGAAGTATAAGAATTTTCGTTAAAATATTGTATTTTTATTTTTAACATTGTCTTTTGTCAAATTCTTACTTGAAGGCTACTTTTGGACTTCTACTCTTATTGGATTTGGAATATCAAAGATCTTCAATGGATATTTCCAGTACGACGGCACTCCAAACATTTTATAACGCTCGCCGGTAAATGGTTTTTTTTTTATTATCTAGGTTTAATTTATCCCTATTACTGTCATCGTGACAGTGTCATTAAACTTAAGTGAAGTAAAGAAATTATTGTTTCGGGTTGGTTCAACACTGACTTAGGTAGGTCAAAGATTGACAGGACTATTTCTACCTACCTTTCAGCGTTCCGACTGGATTTATTTCCATGGTAATATATGACCTAAGCCACAATTAACTTTTTATTAAACGCAGAGTATGTTTCATATACAGGACCAAATGTTAAAGTATAAATGCATTTATAAAAACTAAAGCGTATAAATATTTAATCTTACATTCAAAAAACTGAAAATTAGCAAGACTATCAGAGGGCAATAAAACGTAGCAGAATGACGTTTCCGAATAGAAAAAGTGCCGCCATTTCTCTCCATATATTACGAATAATGGTTCCACTATCGTGTCTTTCAAGTTAAAACCGCAGAGTTTCAAGCTTGTTAACGATATAACAATTGTGCAACATTTTAACTTCACCGTAAACAGAAAGTATAAAACAGACTTAATGTTGTGTAAAAAATGACTGAAAAAGCGTCGCAATTGAAGCCAGAATAAAATTTAAATGGCGCTTTATAGCTGCCGTAAAGAATGAAAAAGTTGTACGATCGGGCAATAGGAGAGGAAGTGATGTTTTCAGATTGCTAGTATTTATTTGCGAAGATTTTATTACTTTTGTTCTTTGCGAATCACTTTATTCATCTAATGAATGTCAGAGTTTCAATATAACTTTAAAAGGAGTTGTTAGTGTGCTTTTAACCGACTTAAAAACCTCCAAAGGAAGTTATCAATTCGATGTTTCGTTTTGTGTATGTTCAAGCACAGCTCCGCCGTGCGTGGACCAATCTGTATGTTTGGTCGGATTCAGGCTCTTCGGATTTGAGTGAATATGCTTATACTTTTCAGGATACTGATTGTCTCAAGAAAAACTGAAACCTCGTGCCGCTGCGTTTTGATTGGTCGCTTATAAACGGACAGTTATAGATATATTAATAATAGATAATTTTCCACATCTAATAATCTTATAAACATATTATACGCCTGACAATATTGGGGAATAAGCTATCCTTATCCTGTCTTATATCGGTTGAAAATTGGCACAATTTCCGTTAAACTATATTCGCTAAAAAAACTAAAATGGACATAGCTAAATCACATTTTTTTGGTATTTGCCGTTTGCCTACCTACTTTATTTTATGTGTGATATGTAGGAGAACCAACAACATACCTAATTGTTATTGGTATTATTTAGAATAGTTTAGTAAAAAGTTACTTAAAACCTTAAGGAACAATCAATTTAATAGCTAAAATGCAAGTGAGCATTCATAATTAAAACTTACTA